AATATTTTCAACAATTTTAACAGAATCAGCTAACGGAAGACTTTGCTTTTCTAAGCTCGTAATAGCTGTTTTTAGTATTCCATAATTTGAATAAATAAATACTAAATCGGCTTCCAATATGTTTTATTCCGATTTTAATTTTTTTACTTTTTCGATGGATATTACGTCCTTGGCACTTAACTGCTGAACTACATTTAATATTGACTTAAAATATTCACAGTAATACATTGCTGGCTCATCTGAGACGACATTTCCTGTATCTATTCGAGAGATTCGAGAAAACCTTTCTCGACGACAACTATAGTTCCCTTGATAGTTCCTTGGTGTTGGATCACAATATGTGTTATATCGGTTTCCAAATTCCAAAAATCTAATACAAATAATACAAATCTTTAGAAATTAAATATAATATAGGTATATACTTATATACTATGTTAAATTTCTACAAAAAATATCTAGTCTACTAAAATATGAAATATTGTAAAACCTTTTTTAGATTCTGAGTGGAGCAATGAATGTAATGATTTTACAATGATTAATTGTGTTTTTATATTTTTTTTTGTGTCTATCATCGCGGTTTCTTGCAGTAAAAGTGCTTCGATTTTCTTCAACAGCAACTTTTCTGGTAGGAAAGTGAATCTAGTTGGTGCATTCGGGTGATCAAAATTTAAAATTCCCAATAGTTTTCAAAGCGACAGGAAAAACAAACAAAATTTAAGGGAAAACGGGAATTTTTACTCAAAACCAGTTTTCCGAAATACCGATTTTGGTTTTTATTGAAACCCTAAAAAAATTGATCGTTGATAAATTAAATTTTCAATGAATATTTTTTTTAGAATTTTCTATACACCATAAAATGTTCAAAATATTTTGACTCGTGTTCAACTATTTATAGGCATATGCAATTTTCGATTATTATTTGTTTTTTTTTAAGCTACTATCGATAAATAATTTTTCGCTCGGTCAAAAAAACTTGTAAATTTAATACAAGGTTCCTCGTAAGTTGGTGTTAGTGCAAATTAAAAAAAAAAATGAACACGAATCCACAATAATTTTTTATGAGCGTTTAAACTTAGAATTTTGACAAAATTCGTAAAAATCACGAAAATTAGAAAAATTATATTTAGTTAGAAATTCATAAAAAATGTTCTTTTTACATCTAAGATTTAAAAATGTAATATAAGATTCTTTATCAGCTTGTCTATCTTTATCGTACAAAAAAATTTCTACCGAAAAGTCAAATTAAATTTTTATTAGCGTTTGAAGTTGAAATTTTTACGACATTGGATATTCAGTCGACTTCTCTTGTAGCGATTTTCTTATTATGATGTAATTCAAAAACAAATTACCCTAGACACTTAAAATTAACGCCTATGTTTATTTTATCAATTCATATACTTGTTAAAAATTTCAAAATATTTTGTCATGTTATAAGCTGTTGACGGACATATTCAATTTTCATTTTTAAAATATTATTCTATAAATGTCGATAAAATTGTATTGGTTCGTAGAATATATAGTAGATTTTTTGTACGGGGGAGGCTACCTTAGGGTAATTAGAAGTCCGGCTTTCGATCCAGAACTTTAATTATAATGATAAATAAATACGATATGCGAAAAAATAATAACAGCTGTTATTTTACACTATATTATACCTTATTATACTATATAGGTAGCCTAATTTTTTTTGTAATTGTTTTTTACTGTATGAACAGTATTTTCAAATAATGTACAATAAAATAATTTCTTCGTTTAAATAGGCACTTATCTAATTTTATCCAAATTTAAACTTAAAATATCTGTAAAAAAAAACTTTATTCGTGTATTTCCTTATTTTTTTTTTGTTTTAACAGATTTTTTTTTAAAAATTCTGAGAATTTTCAAATTTGACTTCTAATAAGCGTATTTTATATCTACAACAAATTATTTATCAGAAACCACCCTCAAATTTAAGTCTAATTATTTTTTTCTATCCATGTACCTATCTAACAACCACACACACACACACACACACACACACACACACACACACACACACACAAACATCATCGTAAAATTAATACATTCATCGATCCGTTTACAATCATAAATCATAAATATATTTAGGTAAAAAGTTAAAATAAACGATTTTTACCATGTTGGTGCTTTGATTTTCATCTAATTGTTAAATTGAGAAAAGGGGGATGGTGGGTGGCCCTTGATGAATGATGTCTGAGTATATTTAAATCATTTTGGCAGTTTGGAGTCACTGGGACACATTAATGGAGGTATCTAAATCTAATTAAGTTCACCACCGTTCAACCAACACATACACGCACAAACGCTTTTTGTGAATATTATTTTAATTTTACCGCAAATTATTATATTCATTGACTCCTATATGCGTTGTGCATTATATTTTTGTATTCATTTTCAGCACTGTTAAAATTGTCAACGACTCGAATCGTATCGTGTCATACAAACAATCATAGGCACAAATCGCCTTAAATTATTGGTGTGAATTATTAAAAAAGTGGGCTTATATGTCTATAAAGGCTATAGACTATAGAGAATCACTGTAATGGATGTGTTGTATTTGAATTCAATAATCATTGTACACGAAAAACGATTTTGAGCGAAAATGGTTTGTCAGCCTATACTACCTGAGTAAATTATATAACGTGATTGTGATTAAAGTAATTTATTCTACTATGTATTAGGCATTAGTAATACGCCACTATTACAGCAGGTAAAATAATTGTTGCCAAAAAAAAATTTCAAAAATGTTATTGCGTGTATATATTGTAATCAATAAAATAATGTACTCTAAAGTCTCAATTTCTCAAGTACTCATGGACAGTATTTATGAATTATAACAATAAATAACTAAAATCGTTTCTTTTACATCCATTTGAATTTTGAATACATTTGTCTGTCTATACTTGGTTGATTATGTCTGTTATTATCAGTTATTATATTCATTTCAAATGTCAACTATTTGTGCAATATTTTCAACAACTGAAGTTGAAAGTGTAGCGCAGATTATATATTCCATTTCATTTCTGTCGTGTCACAAATTACCAAAATTAATTTTTAGATGTGGTGCAAATTTTGTATTTTAATGTTTTGGCGCAAATTACATACGCACTTAAATATATCTATTTTTGGGTGGCAAATTACAAGTAATAAAATTGGCATAAAATACTATCTTCCTTGTAGAAAGGTCCCACCTGACTTAGCAAACCGATGTAATGTGTATCACTTTGCTGCGGTATTTTTTAAAATATTTAAAATACCTATGGCATAGGTCCTATGCTGAGTCCAGAACATTAGTACCTACGTATATGAATTTGACCTTTTTTTCGAGGACAAAATTTTCGAACTTCGTTCCTCCGAACGATATCTAAACATTGTACATATAATGTTAATCCCTACTCGGAACACTTCTTAAATTCCTTTGAATAACCTGTCAGACTGTTGTAAAATTAATGGCCACAGCTGCAAAAGAAAATGTATATGTATAATGTATATCTAGCTATAGGCTACAAGATGTTATCGAATGTATAGAGGAGAGAGTGCTGTATTATTATATTATATATTGTATTATGTTTCGTTTTATTTGTATGTACATTATATTATTCGGTTTTAAGCGGTAGGCTGTGGATTTGAGTATTTCGAGGAAAACCAACAATATAACATATTATATTGGTAAATGGTCACAAAAAAAAACTATTTACAGTATATTGTTGTATTATTATAACACTTGTTCCTATATTGTGTATAGAAAGGTACTGTATCAGTATGGGTATAAATGCGAGTACAATAAAACTTATTGTAAGCCATGTACGGATAATAATAAATCGTGACCAGAAAGAATACTTTGGTGCGTCCGGCTATACGATATTATGTGTGGGTGTGTGGTCTAGGATGTTGTAAATAGGCAATATGGTCGTTTCGTCCCCGTCTATTATCAAGATAGGACATTTGACCCCCGAGAGTTATAAAGATTTATTTTTTCCTACCCATAGGACGTTTGGCCCCCGGTTAGGTTACGTTCTAAATTAATTAACTTAAAAAAATTATATAAGTTAACAATTTTACGAACATCTTTATGACATTATCGATAGATGTTTATCTTAATCGAAAGCCTTCTTCTACTGGCCCAACAATATCAAATAAGTAATAACTAAGTTAGTAGTACTAACTAGTACCTATTACAATTGATGGTGATTGATGATGCTAATTAGACTATAAGATTCATATCCACTGGCTTAGCTAGACCTATAGCTAAATAATAAATATTAAATGAATGCACACTGATCCATATATATGATTATATGAAGGCATTATATAAAGGTGTAGTGGCTGTGTGCGAAAATATCTTTACCTTTACCACGGGTACAACTGGTACAAGGGGGGGAGCGTGTGTGCGACGGTCTCACAGGCAGTGCGTCTTTGATCGACGGAGACCAAGGGAAGTTGTCTTATCGCACGTCGCGCTCCCGATGTATCTGCTTGGTTTATATATACATACCGCATTGTGGACGTCACATGTTACTAGTTTTTCTTTATGATGGATTGTACAAGGATTCAATTCTACCTGCTTTTTCCTAATAAAAGGTACTTGTACCAGCGTGTACATGCATTCCAAAACACTGCCCTGTCACCGAGTCGCTACGGTCGAGACACAGGCAGTCTAGATCAGCGGTGCGCAACCTTTTTTGATCCACGACCCCCCAAAATAATTTATTTTTTAATACGACCCCCCTTCCTACCAACATTATGTAAGTGTGTAATTTCAATTTACTTAATAGTCTTAATGTATACACACATTTTATTCATATACATTAAATGGTTAATTTTAGAGCAGTTTTAATATTTCTTTAATTTAATTAATCAAAAACATGAAAAAAAAATACAAAATTAGAGTTTTATAAAATCTAAAATTAAAAAATGTATCATTATAATGATAATCAAAAATTTTAATATTTTTAAAATTATAAAATTACTTTTTAATTATTTTAATGAGAGACCTGAGCTTGCATTGTAGACATGATTGATTCTATGTTTGGTTTGATATTTGACACTGCTACTCTTAAATCAGCTTCAACATTTAATCTGGAGCGATATTTGTTTTTAATTATCGTTAGTGTTGAAAATGCTGTTTCGCATAAATAAGTTGATGCAAAAGGAAGTAAAATTGATATAGCTTGTTTTGATAATTCTGGATATTCAGATTTGATGGAAATCCAAAATGTATCACATGCATTTTGTTGAAATCTGATTCGTAGATTTTCATCTGATGACAAGTCAATAAGTTCTTCGCTTATTTTTAAATTTCCTAATTTTATTTCATTGATATTAAAATGAAATGGATTTCTTATCCAACCTAGACTTTCTTCTGGGAAATCTTCAAACCGTGCATTAAAGTTTGTATACAAAATTATAAGCATTAATACGATTAACTCAACGGCTCGTACATGACTATCGGACTATTTCATAATAACCGTAAGATTAAATAAAATTACTGATTAAATTCAATTTAAAAATAACCCATATACTGCGTGGTTCAATAAAACTTGTTATCGCAACATTAAGATATGACATAATGTCATAATATTGACACAGCTATCAACGGTACAAAATAATTTTACTTTGTATAAAACTATAAAATAATATACAATATACATAGTATAGTATAAAACTTTTTCATTTGGTGATTACTGGCGACCCCCAGGTTGCGCACCACTGGTCTAGATGTTGTGTAACTCGGCACGTGTGGCGCAATGAAAACATTCTAATAGTCACAATATATTCGATAGTTGTTGAATAGTTTTCCAAATAATTCAAATAGTTTCGAAAAGTTTATTTTTATTCAAATCATGTTTACTTCTGTTACTTAATTAATATTTCGAAAAAAACTATTCAAATAAAAATGATAAAAATTCTTTCATCGTACATACAACTGAAATATTTAATTCGTATGCCAATAAGGAGCACTGTCTGTTGCAAGTATGGTCCATACAAAATTTAGAACCGGTTTGAATGGTGAACACCTGACCGCAAGTGTAAATACTATTCCTGTAAGGTATTTTATGTACCCTACCTAAATAATATATTACACATGCTCCCTTTTAAACACACACACACACACACACACACACACACACACACACACACCCATTGAGCCACCCGTATACACGTGAAAAGATGTTTTGAGATTTAAATTTTAAATATTATATATTTATCATATTTTTGGTCAGGTTTTGAAATTATTTACGGTAAAGAATTTGAATTAACAATAAAATTAAAGAGTTCGAGTTTCAGAAAAATGTGTCTATATTATGATGTCATACAAATTTGTTATTTCAACTTTATAACAACGTCTAACAATACTCGTAAATTATTGATATTTTTTAATTATCTATACCCACATAAATAATGCTTACTATTTGTTGATATCTTATTATAAAATAAAATCATTTAAAACATAATGTGTAACGACCATGAGTAATACCTATATATTATTGTAGACGTGGTATATATTTAATATTATAATATAATATAGCACACAATTATTAAGAACTATATTGAACATAATTCTATTGTAATAAAAATATGTTTTCGTGTTTGTACAAACCGCACGATTTCGTTTCGGGTTGTTTTTAAGGAACTTAGTAAAATATCTCTGAAAACGATCATTGTGTAAAGAGGTGCATAAACCTACCCTTGCTGGCAGATGACTAGGGTAGATGGGGTGAGAAGGGCAGCATGGCAGGTGGCAAAGGTCGGTAGGGTGTGAAGGGTGGAATGGTAGGCGCCATAATCATCCCTCCTCACACAATTGACCTTCGGTGCACAATGGAATGGCTAAACGGCGGGCCACGATCTTACTACGTTCGCTGTGCTGGTCAGTAACAGGTCGTCATTTGAACAACATAGAAACTCGAAACTGGTTTTTTAATACATGGGTTTTGTGAAGAGATATTTTATTTAATGTCTTGAATTTGCTGCCAACATACTTAGGGTAATTTTAATTATTATTTATGATATATATTATAGATTTATATACTGCTTATTGTTACTTGCTACTTATTACTTGTTATGTTGCTTATTAATTGTCATTACAACTTACAAATTAATAGTAATAACTTATAAATAGGGTTATGGAGTAGAGACTAATAGAAGTAGTGTATTTTCTATTATTATTTCAAAACATAGCTTAGTGATGTAGAAATCTGTTTCATAATACCAGGAATAAAAAGCAATTATTTTTTTGCATATTAAACTCTTTTTCACGTGTTAGTGCATATTTTTTTATATTTTCATTTTAAGTACATATTTTACATATATTTTTAAATTATAATTTAATTTTTCTTTTAATCGGTAAAAAAATGTACCTATACCTAAAAGAATATTCAAAGAAAATAGTGTGGGTTGTGTTTTTCTCGTTTTCCTGACCATTTATATAGTTGAAGTTCTAACTTTTTTGTAGTATTCTTTTATCAACTTTTATCACACAGTATTTATTAAATTAATTATATAAAAACGAATAGAAAATTAATAGATATCATTTTCATTTTTTTGTGGGACAAACGGACAAACTTAAAAAAAAACCCAAGTCCGAAGATAAAAATATTAATCTGCGTTGGTTTAATTAATTAATTTAATTTTTATACAACGTATATCTATGAATAATTTTTGCAACATAAATAAACAATATTACCAATAAAAATATTTTTCTGATAGTAGTTAGTTAGTATTTTCTAACAGTAGCTAAAATGTTTCGGTTTTTAGGGCATATGAAAAGAGCATACTTAAGTGATATTTAAATGGTATTTTTAGTAATATTATAGGGCATAAATAAATGCAAATTTTAAGGTTTTTAAAAGACATGAAGTCCGTAGCCCTACTTATAAAAAATGTATAATCATTATCGTAATTTTTCAAATATTTTTTATTGTAATAAAAATAAATAGTATAATCTTATTTATTGACTAAAGTAGCAGGGCTTTATCAACAATATAAAATATATAGTGGTGATCAGCGACCGATAGTATAACTCTTAGTGACATTGGATTTAGAAATATTGTGACTAGAGTTTATACTACCGTTTGATGATAACTGCAGCGTTTGATCTTCGGCGTGGGTAAGAATGGCTGAACGATGGACGGCCGAGCTCTTACACTTTTCTTATGGTAATTTTATTTGTTTAAGGGTGTCGTATACGCCACGCAAAGGGTTGACGTATATAACAGATATATAGACACTAAGACACTTAGACGGAGACAACCCATGTGCTTGTAGCGTCCTCTTGACGTAGAAAGTCGTATACTATAATTGTTGTGTGAGAAGTAAACGAACATTCATGTGAGTGTCAACCACGCCACCACTACTCTCCGCATATTAAATCCTTATGGAGTGCCGACCACTTAGCTAAATACATGGAATGCGTATATTAATCAAAATATGATAGGTATTGATAGGAAGTCACCATATACATTCCAAGTCAAGGGATGTCATGTTACCTATCTACGAACAATCAAACATTTAACGAATCAATAGTGAGCTAATGGTCCTTTAAACATGATTTAGTGGCCCGTTCAATTTTATTGTACCTATAAATTAATACATTTTCCATGCAAGCCGGCGTATGAAAATTATTACCACATCTGAGTGTGTTGTCACCGTCTTACCAACGTACACATGGCAAAACTTGTCTTGCGAGGGATAGAACCACTCAGGCTGTAGGCCAAACTAAGTAATCAATTTTTCACACTGGGGAACATTCACTGTGTAACATCGTTTTTATTTTTTCAATATCACAAATACAAAAAAGTAATTCAAGTAGGAAATAATGAACTTTTAAACAATAATAACTTTTCTTGTATTTGTGTTATCGAAAAATAAAAACGTTGTTGCACAGTAAATGTTCTCCTCTTAATGGTATGGCGATTTGGTTGCTTAGATTGGACTATTGGCTAAATTATAGGCCCATAAATACGCATTCCATAGATTTAGTTTAGCAGTTCCGGCATGACGTTTCAGAGAAATAATTTATTGTTCGCACTAGCATACACAAATCATAGATTTGATCTGATAAAATATTTTGTTCTAACCAGAAATAAATTTTAATCAATTTAGACCTGAGAACCAGACAAAAAAAGCCAACTTCGAATGGTCGGATTCTGTAATTTTGTAAAAATATTTATTATTATTATTATATCTTACTACTTCCTCTAGGTTATTGTGGGTGTTGATTTTTGAATAACTGTGTAACTTATTTATAAAAGAAAACCATTGAAGTAGGTATATCTAAAAGTTAAAAAATATATTATATATTTAATTAAAAGTTTAATTTAAGAACAGTTTTAAAAGAAATATGATCAGAAATCGAGACCTAACCTAGAACATATGCCAATTAATTCAAATCTTTTTACAGAATTCAAATCCAGTTATTTTGGCGTAATTTTTCCGAGTTTTTAGGTCTAAAACATAAAATAAGTACGCTGCTTCCAACCTCCTTAATATCAATTATATTATAAATATACTATTGTTTATTTGTGGTCACAACTTACAAATGAATGGTTAGTTACAAATTATAATTTATAAATGATGTATTGTCGTAATTTTTTCATATTTCTATTGTAATACAAATAATTTAGTTTAAAATATAATTACCCACCTATATTATTGACTAGTGACTACAATTGCATGCCTATATTGTAATAAATAATAATACATGTAATGGTGTTTGTGTAACTCAGAGTAACATTGCATTTTAAAATATCGTTGTGACTAGTACATACTAGCAATTGATGATAATTACATAGTTCGGAATAATTATAAAATTTAATATTATAAAAAAATTAAAAAATTAAATTATAATTAGCATGGTAAAATCATTATAGTATTATTATTTTTGAATTTTATACATGGTCACAGGGTTTAGTACTTCCCTGAATTTATGAGAGCCATTTAGAATATTGTACACATACCGGATATCTTAAATTCGAGAATACTAGACTTTGATAAATCTGCATCTGTATACCTATTTATGTGGACGCTATTTATATAAACAGTGTTATAATTTGATAACTTAAATAGGTATTAATTTCATGTCCAGGCCCCAGGGAGTTCCATCTACAATATCAATGTTCTAAAACAATTTGGGTATCTATGTATTGAAGCAGAGAAAGATTCCTGAGTTGTACAATAACTACAGTAGATATTCTTTTTGTGGTAACCTATGGTTTTTTCTATACTTCCAGAACTTCAAAAAAAAATATCAATTTCATTACGTCATCAAAATACATTATTTTGTACATTTTGTGAATGGTTCTCAAGAGTTAACAAATGACTGTTGTTTGTCTGTTTGTGTTAATAAAATGGCATGATTGCTTCCTTCAAGCATTTCACAAGAAAACATCAATTTTTTCATTACACAATTATAAGTATTTTTTATTTTTGATTAAAACACAATGTTCATGCTTTTTATAAATTTAATATAGTATACTAATATTATTAGTATTTGTCAATAATGTTTATATCTACATTCTACATCCATACTGTTTACCATTTGTGATTGATTCTTTTAGTGCCTAAAATGTAGTTAGTCTTTTTATTTTAATCTAACTACATTTTTTGTACTTAAGAATCGTTCATAAGAAAACTTCAAATCTATTATGTACATAAAAATTCATTATTCTTTTTTATTGATCTAAACACAATCCAATGTTTGTTAGCTATCTACGCTTATATTATAGTAATATTAGTGATATTTATTAATAACGTTTATATTTGCGTTTATATATTTAATATTTGTGAATAGTTCTTAAGCATTAACAAATTATTGTTATTTGTCTGTTTGCGTTAATCAAATATCGTATTTGTGTCCTTCAAGCATTTCTTAAAAAAAATGCAATTTTTATATTTCACTTATATACATTTTGTAGATAAAAATACAATTTAATTTGAGTTATATTTAGTTATTATTAACTCTTTTAAAGCACCTACGTACATTTATAGTATATGTAAGATTTTTTAGGAGTGAATTTGGACTTTAGTGTTTTAATGGTAATCTACAGTCCTTATTATCTCCTAAGAAATTTCACAAGAAAACTTCATTTTTTTTTTTTTACATAATTATAAGAATTTTTTAATTTTAATCAAAACACAATATTAATGCTTTTTATAAATTTCATATAGTATACTAATATTATTAGTATTTGTTAATAATGTTTATATTGACATCCATACTGTTTACAATTTATGATATATTCTTTTGGTACTTAAAACATAGTTAGTCTTTTAATGTTAATCTAACTACATTTTTTGTACCTAAGAATCGTTCATAAGAAAACTTCAAATCTATTATGTACATAAAAATTCATTATTCTTTTTTATTGATCTAAACACAATCCAATGTTTGTTAGCTATCTACTCTTATATTGCAGTAATATAAGTGATATTTATTAATAACGTTTATATATTTAATATTTGTGAATGGTTCTTAATATGGCTGCCCATTGGGAGGGGGGGGGGGCAAGACAGGGCACTTCCCCCCCCCCCTGGAAAAAAATATTATGAACTTGTAGCTCAATAAATATTACCACAATATTACCTTATTACCGAGGCAAATTATTTGTTGAAATCAATTTTAAGATATGAAATAAGTATAAAAATATACTCATTGTTATTGTATATTAACATCATAGATAGGTCGTAGTCTGTAGTTCGTATAGGTACCTAAATGTAAAATTATTTATCGCAGATAATTCGTGCTAAATCCATAAAGATCACAATATAGGTACTACAAATATTTTATCAGACAACATTGACTGATTAGTGATCACTGATCATTATGAAATTGAAAATATGATAGAGGAATCTAATATTTGGTATTAGTATCGGATTGATAAAAATTTGATTGACTCCCAGTGTGATGAAATTTTGTTTGTTGATTTATTGGCTCATTGCTAATATTATCCTACTATTTTTCAAATACTTAATATTTTTATACCACTGCCTCCGACAACGTGCACAATAGAAAGATCGTTCAGTACATTAAGACGAGTAAAAACATGGCTTCGCTCGACTACAGGAGAAAATTGTTTAAATGGGTTGTGTATGATGATAAACAAGGATAATTTAATTCAGGATGTCATTAATATATTTGGAATAAAATGAAGAAGTTTTCAGTTCTTATTTACTGATACCGAATAGTGTACTTAATTATATTATTTAATATCTATTTTTTATAATCTTATATAACATACATGTATACATTTATATGTAAAAAATAACATTAAATCTTTATTATCTTACATTCGAAAAAAATTGTATTTAATAATGTTGCCATCCATATACTATGCTTACTATTTTGGATGTATTCTTTAAGTACCTAAAATGCAGTTAGTCTTTTTATGGTAATCTAACTACATTATTTTTACTTAAGAATCTTTCATAAGGAAACGTCAATTTTATTATTGCATATAAATATATGTATGTTTTTTTTAATAAAAACACAATATTCATGTCTGTTATTTACAGGGGTCGGGGAAATACGGTGGGATGGCATCCCTTCACTTTTTATAATTCATATTTTCCATCTCTCCACTTATTTTGTACAACTATTTAAACAATACATGAAAATTATAAAAATCATGAAAATTATTCTTCCACTAATTTTGAGCCACTTGGACCACTGGTCATACATACCCTATTACCATATACATACTATAATATAGTGGCTAATAGTATTTGTTAATAATATTTATATCTACATCCCAATATGCTAACTATTTGTGACCAATTCTTTAGGAGAGCATTTTGACTTAAGTTTTTTTATAATAATCTTAAGTCTTTTTTTCTCTTCTATGAAACTTCACAAGAAAACGTCAATTTTGATCATACCTAAAGTATAAATACATGTATGTTTTTGTTTTTTTTTTGATATTGATCTAAACATTCTAAACATAATTTATGTACTATATTGCAGTAATTAGTGATATTTATTAATAATGTTAATTTGTTGTTAGAATTTTCTGATTACCTAAGATCGCTTTTTTTCTAAAGAACTTCATGAGTAAACTTTTACAGCGGACAAGTCGATAAACGGCTATAAGTGCAACTCAGCTACCTTGGTAGGCAATGTGTAAAAATTCAATTCATAAATGAATTAATAACTATGATAACTATTACAAATGCTGTATAGAACAATACCTTTATGTAGGTCCCACACTGGACTGAAAATGTATGTGTAGGTCACATATTGGACCATTATTTGAAATAATGTACAACATTCTGTCTTTTTGTGTATTACAATTAAGCAATTTTAAATTTATATACATAAATACTTTGTAGTAAACATAATATCTACTAGAAGTTACAACACACTTTTGATTTTTTTATCGTATGTTACATTAAACTGTACCTTAGTAAATAGTGAAATTTCTCTTTTTGCATTATTAAAAGGCAAAAAATATATAATATAAATCATACTTAATTAATAATAAGATGGTAAGATGATTTGTATTATTCACTTATATAATAACACTTGTTTCCATTTATAAAAATTCTTTTAGCTGAAACAAAAGAAAATCAGACTTAATTAAAACATGCATTTAGACAACATGGTATGATTCCAATGGTTGTAAATGTTTGTAACCCGCTCCCACTATTAATGGTGTCAAAAACATATTATTTTACTGACTATAGTTGAATAATGAAAGGAAGAGAGGAATGAGTCGGTTCTCTAATATGTCTCGGATATGTACATAGTGTTTGAATAATACATAATATTATGCACAAAAATGAGTTAAATAACACCAAATTTAAAATTAATTTTTTTCTTCAATGTACATTTAAATATAAAGCAATTACTATTTTAAATTTATTAGATTGGATGAATTCAGGATATTGATTTAATCTATTTAATAATATTGTTTTGAATCCTTTGAATGGAAATTTAACTGAAAACTTATTTGAACACTGTATATTAGTTAAAATAGTTACCGGATCATCATCATCAATGATAAACTCTGCTGCAACATCTTCTATTACTTCATGTTTCATAAAGTTTTCAGATAATTCTTGTGAAATATCACTCATTTCTGCCTCTTGATTAGTAATAAGTCCTATTCCACCTTAAAAATATATTGATATTATACAATTAAAAATAATAACTTATAAGTTATTTCATAGATTATATGTATTTGGTTTTAATAATATTCACTTAATACGAGTAATAAGAGGTACAAATAAATATAAAATTACTATATGAACATACATGTTTTCTTCACTGAAATATTGCTTCTTACTAACATAAACTATGTATCTAAAAGACTAAAAGACATACATATCTATACTATGTCTCAAAAGAGAACAACCACTTTTTTCACATCATGATTGATGCGATTGGAGCTTTGAGAACCATATGATCACCCTTACAACAGGTTGGTGGGAAATGAACATTTTTGATGAAAACTGTTGATTTTGCTGATCTAATTTTTCTCTTTTGTGACAGGGTATAGTTTCCAGTAAAATAATGAAAAATGGCTACACCCTCGGTATTTAATATTTATAATATCCATAGAAAAAATGCTGGAATTTAATAAGCAAAAGAATTTCCAATCATAGAACAAAATTAAAGAACATTTTTACATATAATGAATCTTCTACTACACTATAAAAATATGTAAATAATGATAAGAATAATCTTTTGAGACTAATAGTTTTTATATTTTAACTTCATATTTTTTATATTTTATCCAAAAGTATTGTTAACAATTGGGTCTAGTAAAAATGATTTTACAAAAGCAATAAAAAATATTTATGATCTTTAAAGTTGGTATCATTACAAAAAGTGAAATATATATTGAAGAGTAAAGGCCACCATTCTTACTGGGGCTAAAATATTATTTGCCACCCAACTTATGATTTAAAAAACAATAATCGTAAGAAATATATTAATATTTAAAATATTAATTGAATTATTGGTGCAACCAAAATGGACAAAAGTAATAACTATTAATCATTCCATATTTTTTCACTAATAAAAAAAGAAACTGTTTTCAGCAAATATGATCATATTAAGTAGCATATAATATTGGTATTCATATGGTTGATAATGATCTATATTTGTAATATGACAAGATCCTTTTCACCGACCGGAACTAAATAAAATATTTATTGAAGCCTCTCAGCTAAATCAAACACTTCAAAAGAAAAATGAAGAAATATTCAAAATAAACCAATAATTGGTTTGGACTACTTATATCTACATCATAAATCTATAATAATATTTAATTTATGAACACTTATGGACAACTTACTATCAACGAATTGTGACCACATTTCTTCTTTACCAGATAAAAGAACTGAATCTTTTACAAGATACATCAAATCATTATAAGACTTAACATCATTACCATGTATATAAAATTCTCTTAAGACTTTCAAATTTGATGCTGGTTTCTCTAAATCTTCCATGCTTGTACTAGATTCTATTAGGTCTAGAGTTATACTTTTCATCTTTCCACAAACTAAAAAAAAATATTAATATACTCATAAAAATTGTAAAATAATTTTGAATAATGACTGTAAAAAATGCTACATTATGATTTAAACTTTCATCGGATAGTATGGAGTGTTTATAAAAGACAAATCATTTGAAATACTGAATTTCGTCTCCATAATTACAGAGTATCACACAATGCAACAAATACAATATATTTCTACACCTAAAACTAAATTGATTAATACCTATTGTAGAATTAAATCCATTTTCTAAAAGTTTATTAAAATCATCTATTGGGCTGAATGCTGTAATCACACATTGTTTTGATATGTCCATTTCTTCATCACAACTAACCTGTAAAGCATTATTTTCCTCAATTGGACATCTATTAAACAAACAAAATTAATACATTATTTTCATTATTTATTTATTCAATTCTAAGAATTTATATTAAATACATACTTTTCATGAATTTCTTGTTGAAGAGAAAATAGTTTTATAATTTCATCAATAGGTTGCTTAGCTTTTTCCATAATTTTCTCAGGGGGGTTAAGCAAACTCTGAATGTACTCTGGAATTGTTTTTGTTAACATTTTGTCTGGATTAATAGCTTTTTGAGCAATACAATCATACACATATTGTAATTCAGGGTCATGTGTATTTTCAGGCATGAACAATTCATTTCTTAAATAATATCAATGAGTAAAATTAACAAGTTAATAATATAGTTAATAATAATTCAATTTACCCATCTACATCTAAGTCCATTGCATCTATAAGGTTACAGACAACATTCTTTTCTTCATAATTTGGTTTGAATGATTCCAATGATGGAAGCTTAAACAAGTGCTCATCTTCAGCATATGGAAGATTAACACATACAAAATACTAAAACATGCAGATTATGCATTAAAAAACAATTAATGTATGTTGATTCTAAATAAATAATTAATTGTAATATAATAAAATATATTTTATAATGCTAAACATAGCATTTGCTAAATATACATACATTTTCATTATCTTCTCTTTGAGGAAACATTGCACCTATGGTTGGCAAACAATCATTTAAATAAATTTTTCTAATAATCATCAATTCTTCCCTTTCGACCATTGCTTTGAAAATAGCACTAAATGCAATAATATCTTCCTACAACGAATAATAAATACTATAAATAAATTATTATTGTAAATTTGTAAACTAAAATTGTTTATATAATATAAAAACTAATATTACAATAATTAATTATCAAAATGTTGTAGAAAAATGATAGTTGTTCATGTTTTTATCAATTTAAAATGGTCCTCCTCAACCACTTTTGAAAAATACATCATTATTTATTAATAATATAAATATATTAGAGCTGCATATTTACGTACTTACACCAAGCAGAGAAATTAAATTTTTTTCAATTTATATACAGATGCTATTTTTAGAATTGAGAAAAATTAAATTAAAATTTTTATGTCTACAATTTTTTACTAATAATCAGTGGTGTTTTCAGAGCATATAGGGTATACCTATTTACCATTTGGTGAACCAGTGTGTTCCCTGTAAAGATAGTGCAAATACACGTAAATACACTTGTGTACATAATACCTACCTTGTTAAGCAATCCGTATTATTATTTTATATCATATAATATTTTAATATTAATAAGTTAAAGTCATGAAACAAAAAATTAAGATTGGTTCAACCTATAAGTGTATGATGTATTGGTTAAAGTTGATCATTGTTCGTGACTGCGATTATTGCAGTTTTTTGGATAAAATGTTTGAGTTACTCTAACATCATAGAGTAATAAGAATTGCCAAGAGATTGCCAATTTTATCGAGCTATATGTTATAAAATGTTAAATTTGACCTGTCAAAATAGTTGTTAATACATAAGGTGAATAAAAATGTATAAAGTTGGGAGAAGGGAGATCCTTTTGGAAGGGCCAGATCTTTTTAGTTTTGTTATTATAAAGTATCAATATTCATTGCATATTTTCATCATTGTCTTTAGTTCATCAATGATCATATTATGCCTAAAGTTTTTTTTACAAAAACAACACTGCTCATAATGTATACTAATATTTTTTTGTTCGTAATTTTCTTTTGACAATCCTCAGTTAAAAATTATATTATTATAATTCAATTAAGTAGAAAAAGTAAATTGTAATAAAAAATATTTTTAATTACTTTGTGAGGTTTAAAAATATATGATCCTCCATCCATTAAAAATGATCTTTGTATATTTTTAGCTTTTGTAAACCCTAATACTTGTAAACATCTTGGACCAGATTTATAACCATACGCTTGTATATCTAAATCTATATAAAAAAATATATATATATATTTAAATATACTATTAAAAATGTGATTAAATTTAAATAGTTTATGTTATGCACTTACCTGAGACTGGTATAATTGTATCACCAAAGCGAAATCCATCTATTATATCATCACGATCAACTTCTATTTCTTCACCATTATCAATATAAGAATATATAGTATGTTTATTCATTGCTGAAATTGAATCTGGTGTATCATAATTCCTACATAATAACCACTTAAAGCTTTTTGTGGTCTCATCTATCTGTCATATTTAAACATTTAAATAATTATGTTATTTAAGTTTATTGTCTTTAAGATAATATAAATAAACAAAATTAAACATATTTATACACAAATCAAGTAGTAAATACCTTTTTATAACCGGCAACTTTTATATTAAAAACATTTCCAAAACTTAAAGGGACATTCCAAGCTCTTGGAGTTACTTCTTTTTGTTTGTAATGACTAATTTTAGGTAGAACCGAATCAAAATTAACTGCAGTTGCCTAAGAATAATTACAAATTTGATTAGGATCCATTTTCTTATTTATCTGATTTGAATATAAAAATTGTAATGCATAACTTAGTAAAATTTCAAACATTTTTAATAGTATAGGTATTTTCTGGACTTAGATAAAACCAAGATATTTTTACATACATCATGTTTCACAGATTTAATCAAATTAAAACATACAAATTAAAAAATTCCAGATACTTACATCTAGTTGTTTTGATTTATACGGTAATATTACATTATGTATATAATAAATCAGTGGCAGCACTAACTTATATCATCTATGAGACAATAGACATTAATTTGACCTGCCCTCCTACTCTTTTATCAATAAAAGACCCCAATCTCCTATATATATTGCATTGTTATCATTAAATAATTCAAGCAAATAAAATGATTTATGAAAAAAATAAAATGTAAGTTTAAGCCAATATTATCTACCCCAAGTATCTTGTATCTACTCCTCTATCTAAATCTAACATTGACCAAGTCACTTAAAATCCACACACTAATTAAAAATAAATTATGAGCCATCCGATTCACATTTTTTTTTATAAATTATAACTTTACTATACAACCTTTGATTAATAAATAAAATAATAACTCATAAACAGTTGAACTTTGACAACTCAAGCGTTTCTAAGTCAATTTTTTCAATAATTCAAGGAATATCTGGGGCCTAGCATTTCAATATGTACATCAATCCTGGGTTTAAACAAGTAAAAAGTTTAAGTTAAATTAATTTTAACTTAACTTTTTACAATTTAGTTTTCATTAACTTAATTTTTAACTTGACTGATTTCTATTGATATAAACTTAATAAATAACGAGTTACTTTCAATCAGATCCAATTTTGTTTGTTTATAAATAATTAAATAATAAATATAATAAAATTATTATTGATGATATTTACTGCATAAACATATATTTTTTAATATTTTAAACCATATTACTAGCTGCTTATATATTAAAAAAAACAAAATAAATAACTTAACTGAGTTTAAAAAAAAATTAGGCTAGCTAGTAACTTAAAGCTTTTTAAAATGTTTTCCATCAAATTAACTTAACTCAATAAACAGTTATCATTAACTTTCCCAGGCTTGATGTACATAACATTTTTTCGATCTAGAAATTTTTTTTGTCTTGTAGCTATTTGAGTTATTGAGGTTCCCCTGTTTATGTTATTGGCAATAATGATAATTAGGCACTGCCAAGAGAACACAAGAATAAAATTGCCTGATCGTTAATCACTTCAAATAGGAATACATATTACTTCCTAGTCATTTTCGAAAATTCCTGATAAATGTAAGATATTAGGTTAAGATTTCTATAATTAAAATATATGCTACATTGATTATAATTTAAATTGTTACTTGCTAACAAAGTAAAAAATCAGTGTTTTAGAAATTTTCGAAGGAAATTTAGTTATTATCTGAATCACGATAATTGCCAATAACATACATAATGTGTTACAATATATTACATGAGTTTAAATTTTAAAGACTATATGATGTATACAAAATAAATTAAATTCAATATGCACATTAGATATTATTATTGTAATACCTCAGTTTTTATGATGAATGTTTCTAACACAGGATTGACTAATATATCTTCACAATCTTTACCTCTGAAATCATAAAATATATTCAATGTGTTATAAAAAAATATTCACAATACTGTTGATTCATATTAGAGATATAAACAGAGCATCGTTAAATTATATTGGAGTACAAGAAAAATATTATTTGAACCAATTTACCAATTTACAAATCATAATAACATAATCAATAATGATATTTATAAATTAGTCAAAGTATTTTGAAAAGTTTTTTTGTATAGAAAATAATAACAAAATGTTTCATGTCCTCACGATTAAAATTTTTGGGATTACGACTATATAACTGAAATTGTATTGTAATTGAAAAAGAGGAAAAAATGTTATTTTTCGTTTAAATTTTATTAAAAATTTAAAATATTGATAGAAGAAATTTGTGACCAAGTATTTTTGATATTTTTAGATAACTGTGAAATAAACTTACATTAAAATCATTAAAATCAAATATGTTATAAAATTTGAACTATAAAATAATTTATCAAGTTTGTAATTTTAAGAATATTTTTAAATGCTTTTAAAAATGTGTGACTGGTTTATCAATAATTTAAGTTGCTGTAAGATATACTTAAGAGGAATATTACTCATTTATAAGATTTTCACATTTGTAAAAGAAAGTCATCATACAATACATAAGTAGAATAAAAACTAAAAATTATTCTAAAAGTTAATTAAATAGCTTAAAAAGAATCAATCAAAATATTTAGAACATTTTAACAAGTCTAGAAATAAAAATATAAATATCTGTTGTAAATTTAAAATATCTGTCATTATTCTTTACTGAATTACATTATATAAGAAAAAAAAGATTACTTAAATACACCCATTTTTTTTCCGGAAGTACAAACTAATTGTCAACTAGAAACTAGTTAGAATACAAAAATCGATTCATTCTTTAGATTCAATAGGGATTGATAGACACATAAAAAAGAATTTAAATACCCTGCTTTTTTTTCTATTGAAAATAATAATTAATTAAAAAAGATAGAATTTTAAATTATAATGATGATATCTGAGATTTAATACGAAAATTATTTTATTACTTCAACAAAATAAAAAAAGCTAGGTATAGATTTTAAGTTAAAATAGCCATAATTATTTTCAGTTTAATATAGATATTATGTGTTTATAATCAACTTACATTATAGTCAAATTAATATATTGCTTTTTTATACCGCTTGCAATTATATCAATTTTATCAAATGAGATATCAGTTGCAAGATTTGAAAACAAAACGATCTGGAGGTCTTTGAATATTTTGTCTCTGTAAAATTGAAAATTATTATGCATTATTGACATTTTATAAGTTAGAATAGTAAGTAGATAAAAAATAAATGTAAAGATAAAATTAATCAAATTGTTAGCTTTGTAATTTAAAAAGAAATAAGCATAGTGTCATTTGGTATATTGTACGAGTATAGAAGTTGTTTTTATTTTTAGGTTCAGTAAAATCCCATTAATCTGGACAGCCGTTTAATAACACGTAAACTACGTAGTTTGTCCTGCAGACTAAAATAAATATGTAAAAGAGTTCCACAAATATAAATGCATTTAATTGTGTTTAATTTGTTATTGGAATATAATAGTACAATTTAGGACCTATTATTATATCTTGTATATTATAGGTAATGCACGTGTTTTCATTATTTGATCCAGACTTTCATTAATTCAGACAACCTTGAGCCCCAAATTAATCCAGGTGGAAAAGATTCTATAACAAAAAAATAATGCAAACAATGTCCTGCAATTTCTTATTTAGTAATGTTTTAATTTAATTTAAAGCAAAAGTCAAAAATTTAAACTTTCGAATTAACTCCGTACTGAGTCGTTGTTGAAAAAAATGCAGACCGAATAAGAATATTTTTGTTTTGTTTGTTGAAACAAATAAAATGTATTCATTCCTTAAGTTTTAATTGTTCTAAAACTAAAAGAAATAATAATGTTACAATCTAAAACTGATGGAGAAAAGAGTTGAATAGGAATTAATTCCAAAAACCCAATTTCATATTTATTATACTTGATAGTAAGTTGTTATTAATTTATATTTCAAATCAAAGCACAAGTTATAATTTTATATTGTTTTAGAATTGTATAGTCGAGGTTCGATAACCCAAATTGCAAGGAGAATAAAACTAAATAAATTTGAGTTATATACCTCAAACAGAACTTAAGAATACTTCAATGAGGCAAGAAAACAATTTGAACTATCGAGACTTGACTGTTTAATACACATACTCAGTTTCCCTTTTCAACATATCTGCAGCAACGACAAGAGTGTTGAGCCAATCTGAATGTGTTATATCTGAAGGAGATAAACTATTAACATGTTTAATTAAATCCCAAGTCACTACACCTAAACTTGTAACAATTTCTATATTATTATAATAATATCCTTGTGATGCAAGATGGTTATTTGTTTGAGATGACCCGAACAATATTAATGCCAAATAATCTTTACTTTCAGCAAATATCTAAAACATAATAATTAATATTTTCATTATGATAAATATGTACCTAATACATTTAATATAATTTATCCTAAAAAAAATGTAAGTTATAAATTACTTTTCTCTTTAAAATCATAGAAGCACAAAATTTAGCTTTTTCAAAATTTGTTTCTCCATCTGAACCTAGTTGTAAAGAATTTTTTCCGACATCAATCGCAAGTACTATTGCTTCCTATAATACAAAATATTATTTTTATAAATAAATAATAACAATGAAACACTCAAATACATATTATATTTAAACGTAATAATCGCGGCTCAAAAGTTTATGCACTAAAAAAGCTCAAATATGCAGTACATGAATTTTATTTAAATTAAATATGTTTTTATAAGAGAATAAACTTGGAAAAAGCATAATTATTTAAAAAAAATGTACTTATCATTACAAAGTTTTTGTGTATATTTTTTATTTGTAGATCTTGAATGATTATTCTCAGTCTCAAAGAGATTTAAAAAAGGTTAAATGTATCAAATATAGCAAATATGAAACCATGTCATAATATTTATTTCAAACAAAATATCTTTTATTATTGATAAAATGTTAAATGAGACCGGGTCAATCACAACAAATATTTTTAGTTAATACTCGGTGTATCTATAGTATAATTCAAAATATAAACAAGGTGATGATGAACAGTTGCTCTTTATTTGTAAATTATTTAAATTACAATTTTTGACAGTTGAAAACTTGTTTGTTCTTGGTTTTTAAACATAATCCTCAATAAAATGCTTAAAATTTAGTAAAATGTGCAAAAATAATATGTAACATCAATTTTTGTATTTGAATTGTGTCACGAAACAATTTTGTATTGAATCAGATTTAGAATATGCACATAACATGAACATGCATATAATTCAAAAACCTAATAATAATTAACTACTTAATGTATAACCTACATAAATAATATTTTATTATTGAACTTAATGAACAAACACAGGTATCAACAAAAATGTAATATTCTTTCATTCACGTTGAACCATACAAGTATTATAATTTAGAGCAAATATACAATATTTTTGTAAAAATTATTCATACTTTACATAACTGTTGAGAGAAATATTATTTTAACAGTTTGAATAAAAACAAAAAGTTATCTAATTTAATAATATATTGTTTTGATTGCTTATATTTTTGACTTTGGGTAGTTTTATTTTTTTCTAATGTATGGAAGTAGGCCCGAAGGCAGAATTTCTAATTGGGTTTTTAAGTAGATTTCTGCCACGCCCGATTGGGGGGATGGTAGTCTCGCAGCCTAAAAAGTTGCCTGGCGCCCGTGTGCCAAGATTTTAACCGACGCAGTGAGTGTTAGTATGTTTATCACTAGGTAAGTAGGTAGGTATTTAAAAGATTTAAATTCGAATTGATGTATATATATACATACTGGCATTTAGTCAAACAAGTAAATATGTTAAGTATTTAAAGCCACTGAAGGAATGTACTAAAGTCAGGTTGTCGATATATTATTATAAACCTCTTAAACTTAGTAATTTATCAGTAGGTAATGAATAGATATAATAATAAATATGAAAAATTACCTTTTTATTAGCCGCCATTAGGAAAGTATTGGATGTCGATGACTATAATATACTAGATATTACTTATAAACTTTTAGATGTGCGCAAGTTAAGTAAAACATATGCCGTCATTGAGTCAACGACCAATTTACTAGGATGCTTTTTCAAGGTCTCCTGAAATATATATATAATGTATTAAATGTAATTTAAACACAGAGTTAGCGATTGAGATAGCAGAGAGGAATAAGAATATTTTGGATAAAGTGCCTTGAGCTAATGGAAGACACTAAGTCAGCGGTACAGTAGTGCGATCATAGAAAACAATACTAACGTGATACTGATACTAAATGCGTCTAAACTTCAAGTGTCTAACAGCCTAGTAACTGGATATGGATGGCAAAATGCAAATACCGACTTTAAAAAGTTAATCTGATAGTGTATGGACTACGAAGTGCGAATCGACTAAACAAAAAATATAAATGTAGGAAAACGTTAAGACACGAGTGACTAGGGACGGCACCTCTTATCGGTATCACACAAGTGTTCATAGAGATAACGCATAATATTATCATTTATCAGCACTTACCTCATCCACGCTATCAAGATTCCCGGCAGTCAATATTTTATCAGTTATCATAGAACTACAGAATCAGTCGTAAACAAGTAAAGACTTAAAATGTTTGGATTTCGAAAAATTATTATTTACGCTTTGGTATAATTATTATATATTTTATATTAATATTTATAACCTAACACATGTTAGGTACTTATTCATCTGATCATAGCAATTTATCAAGTGACAAATTATAAATGGTTGCATTTAATTCTGCATCGGAGCACAAGTACAGAATAATCTGAAAATGCACCATAGTCGTTGAGACCTGAGCTCATTCATTTGACTCGTTCACTTTTATGTTTTTCACTTGAAATAAACCCATCATTACATTTATTGTTGAAGTCGTCTTCAAATGTTAATTAAAAAACCACTAACATCTTGATCTCTGTCAGTTTGCTTACAATAACTGGCGTAGTTGATAATGAATTTTTCAAAAGAAGGCAAGCGTCAGAGGCACACTGTCAATAAGGAATACTGCAGTATTCTTCATAAACAACTCTTTAAATAGGAACCAAAACCAATAAATGTTGCAACACTATCATGATCAACATGTCGTCATGTCTACATTATTGAAATTGGATAGTTAGTTTAAATTTGTTACAAGTATAGTTTAAAAAATGAAATTATTAAATGGATTTGAGTAGAGAGCCTTAATATTATTATTTAGACTCTCTAGAATTGAGTATAGGTATAGGTCATATTAAAGTGTTATTAAAGGCCCGTTGTACCAGTCTAGTTTAAACTAGATTTTTCTCAAACTTTTTTTAAGACCAAATCATGTGTTGTACAAGACTAGTTTAACGCTTAAAAGCAAGTTAAGTTAAACCACTGATCTTGATGGCTTGGACTTGGTTTAGCAGTATTTTTGCCATAGATCCATTATCTATACATTAGGTACTTCTGTGTTATCTCGACTACCTTAGGTGTACAATTGTACTATCTCGACTACTTTATAAAAAAAGTACAATATATTTGTATTATATTGTTGACGTTTAAATAACATTTAGTTAACATTTAATTAACATTTTAAGCTAAATTTAAATAATTAGTAGATCGTGACCATAATGTATACTTATATAAAACAATTTACAATTTCAAGTAAAACTAGATAATTAGATAATTAGATAAAAAAAATAATAAGTTAGGTACCTAATAATAGGTTAAAAAATTTTTTTTGCGGAGGAAAGTAGGTTTTAAGATCCAAAATCCTATTAAAAAATTTTAATAATTCAATGTTATAGACACACCGACAATCTGAATAGATTGTGGTACCTTCCTGAACATTTTTTTTGATTGCTGTAAGCAGAGTTCCTGCTTTTCTGTCAGCATTAAAAACAAAATTAAACTGTATATGACGATGACACAGATTACAACTTAGGAATATAGATTTATAAATAGATTCCTGTATGGAAGTAGTCGAAAAAAAACCTAGGTAGTCTTGGAAATATTTGGGTATTCAAGATAATATGGGAGTACCATACATTATTTATTTATTTATTTTATTTAATACACGGACGTCAGTCCTAAAACATAATAATATTAACATTGTGTTACACGTTGATGTGTGTAAAGTCCTAAAACAATAATAATTTATAGTTAAATATATACTTAAAATTAGAGAATGAGTAAAATCATGACAGTTATGATACTGATAGTTTGTGGGAAAATAATTTCTTGTGCGAAGAATCATTTATTTTTATTTAAAAATGAATAACGAAATATCAGAGAATGAGGATTTTCTTGAATTTATAAATTAACATTTTACAACGTAGGGAAAATGCTAATATTAATATTTTGCAAAAATCCAAGTGTAAAAATATTTTCATTTTGAAAATATAACGAAATATCAAAAATCAATTGATTGTCTAATGTAGAACTATACTAACTATAGAAATAATAACTTTTATGAATTTCTAACTGAAAAATAATTTCATCAACATTTTAACTTAAAATGCATATAAAAAATATTCCTACCTATATAACATGAATAATTTCTGACGATTTTTAAATCTACTTACTAAATTAAAATGTACCTCTCCAAAGTACCTATTTGATTCACTTTTCTATCAGAAAAGATGCTGGGCATTTCTACTATGTTGATGACAGATTGAAAAAAATAACACATTGTAAATATAATACATTAATTGCTTAGCTTAGAATCTAAAATGCAATGCTAAATTAAAATTGTAGTACTTTTTTATATTTTATTTATTTGCTGTAAATCATTTAATTGTTTAAGATAATATTTTGTTGTTCAGAAAAATGGTGGGCGTTAGGGGCAAAGCAAAGATGAAATAAACAAATACAATTTTTAACTTTAAAAGACTTATATTATTCTGAATTAATGTTATTATGCAATTGTTTTTAAACAATAATGCACTGATAGTTATAATATTAATGTAGTACAGTTGTTCCAACATTCATGGAATCTACTAACCACTCTAATAAACCTAGTTTAACTATCTGAAGTTTAAACTTCCATTGAAAAACATACCAAATTTTAAACTCAGTTTAATTTTAAGACCAAGTTTAGATAATCTCTAGTTTAAACTAGACTGGTATTATTTATTATATTGAAATTTATATTTTATTTTTTTGAAGAATGAAAAAAAAATGAGCACCGAAGTACATATTTATAGACTTAAGGGAGAGAAATATACTGATATACTTGTCATATTTTAAAAATCATGAGAAAATAATCTAACCTTTTGGGCTTAAAAATTTTAATAAAATAACTAGAAGTATTGACTTATTAGTTAGACATCATTGCAAGAAAAAATGTAAGAAGTTTTTAATGAAATAGGTACCTAACACAAGATGTCAAGATCCTATTTACATACTCAATTATCCGAAATTAAAAAATATATATTCATGGTGATCCACCAAACATATTCAGCCCCCATTTTTCCCTTTAACAATGAATTTTTATAAATTCTGATTCTTAGAATTTTTAAAAATACTTGAAAACCATATTTTCAAATTCTTGAATTTTTTTGTACTATTTAACTGTAGTTTAATTAGTGCATAATTTTTTATAAAATTGTGATGCACCACATTTAAAATTAAAATGAGTAATTCTTAGTCATTAAAATGTTTGTATTGAGGCTAATAGTCTTTAAAACTGGTTTTACATAATTATAAAATAAATGTAAAATTGGATCTAATATATTTATTATACGAGAGCCCTTTTTACAAATTATTCATATTAATTACTACAATTTTCAAATCACCATAGCCCCCATATCATATAAACTCATTACTATGGACCTTTTATCCATAAAACTCAAAGTTAAATTACTCAAAAATTATTCGTACTAATTTTAATTTTGATACATAAAATAATGTAGAAAAATTATCTACTGAATAGTTTATAGTTGATGGAGGTGTTCCCATTTGAAAAACAGAAGTTGGTCTCTCTACAAGACACTCTTTAAGTAGTACAACAAATCGCAAGACTTGGAAAATATGGTCTTAAAGTATATTAAAAAATTAAAAAATCAGATTTTGAATAACTGCATGATTGAAGAAAAAAAGGGGTTAGCATGCTAGGTGAATCACTCTATACCTATATTATGTAAAATATGTTAACATACGTGTGTAATAACTTATTAGTTATATTATTACGTAAGTAAAAGGAAATTGTAAATGAATGCTATAAATCATCATATATCCAAAAATGTATAATTAAATTAACTAAGTGCAAATCAATTGTAAAACTATAATATTTAAACTTTGTTTTTTTGTGGGGAGGTATTGGGGCTATTCTAGGAATTCATAAAATCAACTATAGCGAAAGATAGAAAAAGTAACATACGTCGACACATGATAAATAATCTCAACCTTACACAATATTTTATAAACTGTAGTTCAAATAGCATCAAAAATTGTTAAATAAATCACTAGACTCACTTAGAAATAGTTTAGTACAATGTAGTTCATATTTTATATAATTTTCAACCTATTGCCTTATTTACAGGTTAATTGCAATGTTCCCCTTACAAATTGGGCAATAATAGCCACAGCTATTTTCATTTTTGACAAAAACAACTACATTCCACAACCACACTGAAAAACACCTGCAAAACCCCTCGAACTGGTCCAAGATAATGAAATAGAGACCATTTATACTGAAGCCCAAAGAGTACAGCTTATGCAGAAATACCATAGCCATTAAAACTGATGTTTCATGTATTACCAATAATTAAATTAATTTTTTAAAATCAATTACAAAATTAGTTCAAGCGGTCTAATGAGTAATGACTAATGAGTGATGTGTAATACGTAATGTTATACGTTACACCTAATATGGCTATATTATGAACATTTTATTATTAAACATATCAATTTTTGTTAACTTGTAATTATTGTTCTTAAAGTAATTTTCTAAACACGTTATTTTAATTTTCAAATGCAGATGTATTATGAACGTCAACAACTTTCACTATGTGTACTAAAAAGTTTGGTTGAAGAACTAATTCTAATTCTTACTACCTTAAATGAAAAAATAATCTCTATTTACAAAGATTATAAAGATGTTAATGCAACATGTAAAAAATATTAAATTTGTATTTATTTTTGGTGATGAGTACCATATGAGTAAATATTAAAATAAGTTGCCCTGTATTTTATCTTAAGTTTGTAGTATTTAGATTCAACGGGTGTGCATTAAAACCATTTTTTTTTTCATTTAAAGCTTTCGTTGGCAAGCCAAAAATAAATTATAAGCACCTATATCTATGTGTTTTGAATCTACTATTGAGTTTATATTATGAACTATATAGTAGGTTTAAATTTATCGGGGAAAATACCTAGGTTTAATATAACGTTTCTCCTTTATTAGTTGATTTTCATAACTACTAGGTATCTATCTGAATCAACTATTAAGAATATTTAAATGTTCACAATTTATGATATTTATGTTGTT